GGGGCACGAACCCGTGTCCCCTGCATCGGCAGGCGGACTCTCAACCACTGCGCCACCAGGGAAGCCCCCAGAAGGACATTTTTAATGTACTGAAGAATACAACTGCCAACCTAGAATTCTACGTCCAGCAAAAATATTCTTCAAAATTGAAAGCCAGGAAATTCCACTTTGATGACAGTGTAATAAACTCCATGGATCCAAGTCGCAGCAAAACAAAGCTGGCAAGAACTATTAAAACAAAACAAAACAAAAAACCCAACCCCAACTAACAACCATTTTAATGTCTCTGGAAATTGCCCTAAGAGCAAAAAGCAAATGCAGAAACGTTTATTCAAGAAAATCTACTAAAACTTGGCAAGAGCAGCAAGAGTGTGTGGCATGTAAGCCCTAACCTGCTGCACCTCCACCCGCCCAGCTCAGCATGACAGATGCTCTACTCCTCTTGGGTGGGGCCAAGAAGGGGCTCCCTCTCCCCGCAGCTCCCAGGGAAAGCTCCCCACATCTCACCAGGCTAGGCCACCAGCACCTATCATTCCCTCCAACTCCAACCTAAAGAGGTGAAATTCCTGGTGAGTGTGGCTGAGAGGGTGGGGGATCCCTTTCTGCATCCAGCCTCCTTGAGTCACAACAAACCTCCAAGACTGACTTTTAAAAATACTGCTGCCCAGATTTTACTGGATTGGACTGCTAGGGCATTTTCAAAAACAACAGAGCAATTTTCATTACTTTGGAAATTCCGAGGGTTTTAGGAGCTCTGTGCCAGAAACGGGATGAGGACCAAATATATACTTCTTATTATAAATCACAATATCACAGATAGAAATGTACTGCGCGTGACAAAAACAGCACAAAGGAGGTGGGTGAGAGGAAAGATACACTGGAGTAAGGAAACGACAGCAGATGTAACTTAAATGCACAGGAACAAACGAAGAGAAATGGTAAATAAGAAAGTAGATGATATAACAAACTGTATACATATATGCTGGTCTCATTTCTTCTTTTAGTTTCCACGACAGACATAAAATTATATAAAGTATTATAAGAATGTATTGTTGAATTTGTAACACACACAGATATACAACAACACACAAAAAGGGAGGAGAGGGACTTCCCTGGTGATCCAGTGGTTAAGACTGGGGGCCCAGGTTCCCTGGGTCAGGGAACTAGATCCCGCATGCTGCAACCAAGACCTGGGACAGCCAAATAAATATTTAAAAACAACAACAACAACAACAACAAAAAACAAAAAGGAAGGAGAGGAAATGGCGTTCTATAGGAATAACTATTCTATAGTCACTGGAATTGTTAGTATAAACCAGAAGTAGATTCTGTTAAGTTAAGATGTACATGGTAAGTTCCAGAGCAACCACTAAGAAAATAACAGTATTAGGTGTGGCCACATAACTGAATTCTCAGCAGTGGAATGTGAGTAGAAGCGACATGGGCAACTTCAAGGTCACAGACAAGGTCACAGACTCCACGGCAGTGAAACGGCCTCCTCCACTCTCTCCCTCTCCCATAACCCAGTGTTAAACCTGGAGGTGAGTGTTTAGGCATGCCACTCTAGAGAGTGGCGGAGAAACAAGACAGCCGAGCTGGCCTCCTAACAAGCACGTCAAACTGAGAATCCACCAAACAGGGATGCTGTTACACGAGGGAGACAAACTTCCATCTGGTCGAGCCAATGCATCTGGGGTCCATGAAATACTGTCACCTAATGCCGAGAATGAACGTTTCTGCAAGGCAAGATTTGGGGTGATGTTTTATTCTTGTCACCACACTTCTCTACAGGGATCAGTTCTGTTGTTCTACTAAAATGACACGTGTTCACTGCACAAAAGTATATTATTTTTAAACACACATTCCATAGCTTTCCACCCTCCTAGGATAAGAATCAAATCCAACACAGCCTGACGTGGTCCTGTCTACTCCTCCTTGGACACCTCTGTCTCGGTTGATGTTTCTCTTCCCCTGGACACTATGGGCTCAGACATCAGATGTCTCCTGGGAGATGAACCACTTCTTAGTCCAGGTAAGGAGGAAAGACAAGATAGAAAAAAGGGTCACCAGGGGACGATGTTTAACAGATTGTGTGCCCCACAGAGGGTGGTGCATTGTATGTGGAGAAACTAAGAGGGACCCTAAAAGTAAGTTTAACCAGTTATGTTTTATCAGGGAAAATCCAGGTGAGAGAAACAGAGGCCATGGTACCACCTGTTTATTTCCAGCACTTTGTTACCCCTAACTCCTTCCTGCCATCATGGGCCCATTCCCCTACATGCCCACTGTTCCCACGGTACGCACCCAAAAATCAATTCTGTTTTTATTTATAAGTAATAAACAACTGGAAATTGGAATTAAAAAAATACCAAGTACAAAAACATGAAAAATATGAAAGATGGCTTCCCTGGTGGTGCAGTGGTTAAGAATCCGCCTGCCAATGCAGGGGACACGGGTTTGAGCCCTGGTCTGGGAAGATCCCACATGCCGCGGAGCAACAAAGCCCGTACGCCACAACTACTGAGCCTGCGCTCCAGATCTCGTGAGCCACAACTACTGAGCCCGTGTGCCACAACTGCTGAAGCCCACACGCCTAAAGCCTGTGCTCCATAACAAGAGAAGCCATCGCAGTGAGAAACCCACACACCGCAACGAAGAGTAGACCCCGCTCGTCACAACTAGAGAAAGCCCACACGCAGCAACAAAGACCAACGCAGCCAAAAATAAATAAATAAAATAAATAAATTTAAAAAAAGAATATATATATATATATATAAATATAAAACGGTACACCAGAAATTAACACAACTTTGTAAATCGACTATACTTCAATAAAATAAATGTATAAAAAATATATGAAATACTTAGGAATAAATCTGACAAAAAATGTAAAATGCCTGTACATAGAAAAGTATAAAATACTACTGAGAAATTAAGACAAATAAATGGAGACATACATCTTGTTCATGGGTCAGAAAACAATATCTGTCAATTTCCCTCAAACTGATCTATGGATTCAATGCAATCTTAACAAAAATGCTAGCAGGACTTTTTTCAGATAGCAATAAGCTGATTTTTCAATTCATATGAAAATACAAAGGATCTAGAATAGCCAAAACAACTCTGAAAATGAAGAACAAAATTGGAGGACAAATGCTACCTGATTCCAGACTTTTAATGAAGCATCCACAACAGTGTGGTGTCGGAGTATAAAGGTCGACAATAGAACAACGGAAGAGAACAGAGAGCTCCAAATAACCTCACATATATATGGACAACTCCCTCTTTTTTTTGGTTGTGCTACGCAGCTTGCAGGATCTCAGTTCCCCAACCAGGGATTGAACCCAGGCCACAGCAGTGAAAGTGCCAAATCCTAACCGCTAGACCATCAGGGAGCTCCCATGGACAACTGATTTTTTTGACAAAGGTACAAAGGCAATGCAGGTGGAGAATGGATAGTCTTTTCAACAAATGGTACTGGAACAACTGGACATTCACTTGTAAAAAATTAAACTTGGATCCATACCTCACACCAAAAATTAACTCAACATGAATCAAGACTTAAATGCAACACACAAAAATTTTAAATTATAAAATTTTCTTTTCAAAGAAGAAAATCTTCTGGGTTAGGCAAAGATTTCTTAGATATGACACCAAAAGCACAATCCATGAAAGAACAAATTAACAAACTGGACTTCACCAAAATTTAAAACTTCTACTCTCCAAAAGACACTGTTAAGAGAATAAAAAGACAAGGCACAGAGTGAGAGAATAATCCATGCAAAGTATATATCTGATAAAGGACCTGTAAATAGATCATTCCTGTATTTAGAAAGGAACTCTTTTAAAGTCAACAATAAGAAAAACACAATTAAAAAATAGGCAAAGATCTGAACAGACATTCACCAGTGAAGAAATCCAGAAGGAAACAAGCACATGAAAAGATGCTCAACATCTTTAATCATTAGGGAAATTAAAAATAAAACCACAATGAGATACCACTACACATCCATCACAGTGGCTACAATTAAAAGACTGACCACACCAACTGCTGGCAAGGAAGTTGAGGAAATGGGACTCTCATCCATTGCTGGTGGGAATGTAAAATAGTACAACTACTTTGGAAAGCACTTTGGCAGTTTCCTAAAAGTTTAAATAAACACCTGCCATGTAATGCAGCCATTTTATTCCTAGGTATTTCCAAGAGAAAAGGAAATGTATGGCCAAGCAAACAAAGGTTTGTACACAAGTGTTCATGGCAGCTTTATTTGTATTAACCACAAATTGGAAACAATCTAAATGTCCATTAACAGAGAATGGATAAACAAACTGTGGTATATACATACAACAGAATACTTATCAGAAATAAAAAAGAACTGAATTATTGACACACAACATGAATGGATTGCAAAATAATTATGTGAGTCAAGAAAAGTCAGGCAAAAAAAAAAAATACATGCTCCATGATGTCAATTATATAAAACTCTAGAAAATGTAATCTATAGTGACAGTAAGAAGATCAGTAATTGCTTCAGGATAGAGGTGGGAAGCAGTGAGAGGGAGGGATTACAAAGAGACATGAGAAAACTTTTGGGGGTAATGAATATGTTTGCTATCTCTACCATAGTGGACAGTTTCATAGGTGCATACATATGCAAAAATGTTACCAAATTGTACATTTAAACATGTACAGCAGGGACTTCCTTGGTGGTGCAGTGGTTAAGAATCTGCTTGCCAATGCAGTGGACAGAGGTTCGATCCCTGGTCCAAGAAGATACCATGCTGTGGAGCAACTGAGCCCGCGTGCCACAACTACTGAAGCCCGCGCACCTAGAGCCTGTGCTCCACAACAAGAGAAGCCACTGCAACGAGAAGCCTGTGCACTGCGACGAAGAGTAGTCCCTGTTCGCTGCAACTAGAGAACGCCCGCTTGCAGCAATGAAGACCCGAAGCAGCCAAAAATAAATAAGATAAATTTATTTTAAAAAAAGTTAAAAAAAATATGCATAGCATATTATATGCTAATTATAACTTTAAAAAGCTGTTTTTAAAAAGAAAAAAAAAAGGCGTGTGGTAGGGAGCCAGTCCACCTGAGATCCAACTCACCTCTGTCCCTGGCTGGCTGTGTGACCTCGGGCTAGCAACTGAACCTCTCTGTGCCTCATTTTCCTGAGCACCGACTCTGCAGGGATACTGGAGGATTGTGTAAGTTCACTGTGCCAGCACAGTGCTAGGAATGCACAACAGGCCAGGCAATGTTAGCTGCCATGCAGCAAAGAGCACAGGAACTCTGCTCCGCTTACTATGTACATGACCAAATCCTTCGCCCCACAAGAAGCAGCCCTAAGTCACGCGTTTCTCCAAAGCCCAGAATCAGCCTGGGAACTCTGAGTGAACAGCAGGGGTGAGAGTCTGGGCAGGATGGCAAGCCTCCAGGTGGACTCTCCAAGTGGTGTCTCCAGCAGCCAAGGCAGAGCTGGCCAGCAAGGCCTGAGGACTGGGTGACATGGAAACGACTGAGAGGCAGCCAGGGTAGGGAGGCAGCTGCTAGGGAGTCACCCGAGCTCTTTTCAGGAACTGAAAGAGCATCTTCTAGGGTAAGGTAAACATGACCCCATTCAGGGGCACAGAATAGGGGCCATTAATAGCAAAAAAGAGAAAAGAAGAGAAAGAAGATGGAGAGGGAAAGCAAAGCTCTGGTGGTGACGCAATTTGGCCTGGTGAAGTGGTGGCACCTGCCAGCAGGGGCACGAGAGCGTGGGGGTGTTCCTGCAGACTCACCTGCACGCCTGCGTCTCCAAATCCAGCTCCCCTCAATTCTTGGTGAGTGTGGGGCCCATGGCTCTTCCCCCTGCTCCAGCTTGGAGATGACATCAGGTTTGGAACCTTGAAGTCCTGCTCCAGAGAAAGAAAGCAAGACTGACAACTCATCCAGGTCCAGGGCAGGATGGCCCCATGGGCAGCGTCTGTGTGCTGTCATGACCTTGCCTGCCACCTGGTCTCCAAAGCATGGAAACAGAAGTAGGCCTCTGTCCCAGCTGAAGAAAAGTCAAACCCAGCTCTTCTGGGGGTCACAGTTAAGGGACAGACTTGGTGCCTGAACACATCATGGCAGAAGACTCATGGTAGAGGAGGTGTTGATGTACAGCAGACTAAGTATAAGGCAGGTATAAAGCAGGACTCTGAAGCTAAATGGATGCAAATCCCAGATCTGCCCTGACAGCCTGTGTGAACTTAATAAAGTGATATTTGTCAGCCTCAGGTTCACCTATAAACTATGTATCCTACCACCAACCTTGAAGATGCATGAAGATTAACTGAGGGGATATGAATATACTTGGCGTTCAGTGAATAATGTTCTCCTTCCATACTTCCTACAAAGAACTTGGGGGAGTCCCTGGCACCACCTGTCCCCTCCTCTGCCCAGACCAGGCCTGCCTGGGCCCAGGGTCACAAATGCCCCATGTCTGGGCCCAGGGGGTGAGAAGCCTCTGAGCCTTGAGCCCAGCCCCAGTCCCAGTCCCCAGGGCCATTCATGGAGCAGGAAGCCCAGAGCTGAGCTCCTGGGAAGAGCCTCACCCAGCGAGACCAGGTTCCCATAGGTTTCCAGCATCACATCCCTGTAGAGCCCCTTCTGAGCAGGGCCCAGATGGCCCCACTCCTCTTGGGAAAGGAGCACGGCCACTTCCTCGAAGGAAACCAAGACCTGGAATGACAAGATCTTGTTGCAACCCCAGGACGGGCCTGGGGGTAGGGAGGCACTAGGCTCAGGATGGGCAAAACCCCTCTGAGCACATGCACCAGACTGCCTTCCCCACAAGAGCAGGCTCTTTGGGGCAGACACCATTCTGACTCGTGTTTACCTGCCCATCCCTTGCCCTCCTCTGTGCCCAGTCCAGGGGTGAGATGATACAGTCCAGAGTGCATTTCAGGGACCTGAACCCAAGGGTTGAGGATATCAATGAAGACAGGGAGCCAACTACCCTGAGACCAGTGCCTCAGAGGGAACCGTGGAGACTCCAGCCAGGAAAGGGCTGAGGCCACACTGAGGCGTCTCCAAGAAGACCACTCACCTGGGGCCCAGGAAAAAGCTGCTTGTGGGCCATCACTGGGTCTCCAAGCTTGTCCCGAGGAGGCAGGCAGAGCTGTAGCAAAAGGGAAGAGTGTGATGGGGCCTGACCCGCCTTCTGCTCCCCACAGCAACTTGAGACTTCCGGGCCTGTACCTCAAGAGGTCTGTGGCAGCAGAGACCCAGTTGTAGGCTACTTGAAATCCCCAGGAAGGAACAATGGTCCCAGCACCCAGTGGCCTGAGACTATATATTCCCTTGCCCCCCAGGAAGCCTCCCCAGAAGCCCGTAGTACGACAGCATAACAAGGCCACACGCGAAAGCCAGGTCCCTGGCGGTGCACCTTACAAGGGGAGACGACGGTCTGCATCTCAGGCCCACCCAGGAGAATCCTGGGCGGCGGGCAAACAGCTGAGGACAAGAACAAGCTCCTACCCTACAGCAGTGCACAAGCCGTAGGGAGGGTGACAGACACGATGCTTGTGTCAGGGGATAAGGAAGAGAAACAAGCAGCACGAGGGCAGGAACTGTTGGGAGGAGATATTTTACGAAAGGCAGCCAGGGAAGGCACCTCTGATAAAGTAACATCAAAACAGATATGGATGGAGTGAGGGCCGGCACTAAGTAGGTATCAGGGGAGATACATCTTGGGCAGGGGGAGGCGCAAGTGCAAAGGTTGCAAGTGCAAGCACACTTGACATGTTCAAGGAAGGGCAAGGAGGCCAGAGGGGCTGAAGCAGAGTAGGGGAGGGCAAGACAGAGTGGGGTGGGGTAACTTGTGGGCTACAGGACTTAGGCTTTTATTCTGAATGAGATTAGGAGCATCTGGAAGGTCTGGGCAGAGTGATACGACTTGACGTGCGGCTGCTCCGGCTGCTGCTTTGAAAATGGACTAGGGGGCAGGGAGGAGGGTGTAAGGGTAGAAGCAGGAAAACCAACTGGAAGGTCCCAGCAATAACACAGCTAGAGACGATAGTGTCTTGGACCAGATGGTGGTAGCAGGTGATAAGCAGTCAGATTGCAGATACCTTTCAAAGGTACAGTCAATAGGATTTGCTGACAAATTAGATGTGGGATGAAACACCAAGATGTTTGGCCCAAACACCTGAGATGATGAAATCTCCAATTACCCAGGAAGACCGGAGAAGTATATCTGAAGGATAAAAATTAAAAGTTGTCTTTGTACATGTTATGTTCAAGATGCCTATCAGACCTACAAGTGGAGAATGAGGGCATTTCGATCCACAAGTCCAAATTTCAGGAGAGAGGCTGAAGCTGGCTGGGTATATACTGGTAAATGCCAGCATACATATGACATTTAAAACCACAGATCCGGTGATAATTTAGGGTGACAGGTGACACGGGGTGTCACTCCCATGAAAACCTTTCCAACTGGCCTCTGATACACAGTCAGCCTCTACCCCCAGAGCCTGCTCCATGCAAACAGACCCCTTAATTCAGGTAGAAATGAGCCTTGTTTCCTTGGCCCCAGCTACTTTGGCCCTAGGCCCATCTTCTGGTCAACAAGATGTTAAGGGAAGTTTTCAAAGAGGCTTCTAGAAAAGGCTTTTCTTCCCTGATGATAAAAAAAGAAACAGGGAGAAACACTTCTGCCTAGTGTGACCATGAGGGTAAAACCCAGGGAACCTCAGAGACACAACCCAGAACAAACCCTGCCTGCCCCGCCTTCATCACTTAAGCCTCTGTTGGGCTCTAACTGACAGCTGAACCCAAGCTTATCAATGCCCAGTTCATTTCTCTTGGGCCATCCCGGAATCTCCTCCTCAGGCCACCCAGACCAGAGGCAGCCTCTCGGTCCTCAGCCAGGGCTTGCCTTTGACAGGTCCCTGGTGCTCATGCCCTTTGTGTGCTGTGCACAAGTGGTCCTTCCAAATGCACTCTGCCTCCCCTTTCAGCCTCATGTGGGAGGCACGTAACACTCCTGTTAGAAGCATAGGCCCTGGGCTCCACCAGACTCAGTTCCAATCTCAGATACACCACCTCCTAACGAAGGGTCTCGAGTAAGTGACGTGTTTCTTCACAGACCATAAAATGAGAGCATCACCACTTACCTTAAGTGACTATTTTGAGTTAAATGAGAAAAATGTATAAAGTGCTTCGCACAGTGTTCTTAAACCACAAACAAAACCCAGTAAATCCTAATCATCACCAAGGCAGTGTGTACTGGGCGCCCACCGAGCGAATGAATGGGCCCTGGGATTGTTCAGCGCCGGGATGTGCACCAACGTCCCCTCGCTGCACAGCCTTCGCGACTTCATCCTTTCACTGAACCTACCCCTGATGAGTGAAAGGTACTCTCTCTCATCTGAGAAAAAAAGCACAGGTTCGGTGCATCCCCAGACCGCGTCCAAACTTCGCCTCCTCCGTGAAGCCTGGCTCGTGCCCGCCGCCCCGCCTCCGCGCCGGGGTAGCCCGGACCCCACCCCCGCGCGGGTTTCCGCCCGGCCCGCCCCTCAGGCCACACGAACAGGCGCTCCCCCGGCTCGGCCCAGCCCCGCGCCGTCCCGCCTGTCGCAGCGCCTCAGGCACCTCAGCGCGAGGGGAGGCCAGGACTCCCTCGGCTCCGCCGAGAAAGGTAGACGTACCCCACACACCACGCCGGCGTGGGCGAACCCGCCAGGCCGGAAACGCCCGCTAGGAACTTCTGCCCCGCCGCCAGCTTACCGGCCAATCAGATCCTAGGGTTCTGTCGGGCCGCTCTAGGCGGCTCAGAGGACTCTATGCCACTGGCCCCCTTGTGTTGGGAGAGGCTTTAGAAGTTCGTCAGAGAGTTAGGAAGTGACCCAAGAAACTCGGATCTACCCAGAGAAGGGAAAAGTATCAGAGAGGGAATAAGTGAAGGTAAAATAAAATCTTTTACTTGTCTTACTCCTAAGCAAAATAAAAGGTCATTGTTTTTCAGAGTAATATTGAATATTAGTGACAGTGTATTGGGTAACTGTCGCATGTATAAGGTGAGTGGCAGCGGTGTCCTAGGGACGGAAGAGAGGAATCGGGACACTGGGTTATAAGTACCTGTGCTACCCGTGAGGCGGTGTAGTGTTATTTGAAGGTGGACTTACATTAGTCCTAATATATATTGCAAACTTCTAAGACAACCATTAAAAATTTTTTGAAGTATAATTGATATGCTAAATAGGAGAAAAAAAATCTAATCAGATAAAATGCTCAATTAAACCGGAGAAAGCAGGAGAAGAGGGAAAGATTTTTAAAAAGAAACAAGTGTAATGAATAACAAACAGTAACAACCATATTAATACTCACTTTAAAAGTGAATGGTTTAGGGCTTCCCTGGTGGCGCAGTGGTTGGGAGTCCGCCTGCCAATGCAGGGGACGCAGGTTCACGCCCTGGTCTGGGAGGATCCCACATGCCGCGGAGCGACTGGGCTGGTGAGCCACGATTACTGAGCCTGCGCGTCTGGAGCCTGTGCTCCGCAACAAGAGAGGCCGCGGTAGTGAAAGGCCCGCGCACCGCGATGAAGAGTGGCCCTCGTTTGCCACAACTAAAGAAAGCCCTCGCACAGAAACGAAGACCTCCCACAGCCATAAATAAATAAATTTAAAAAGTGAATGGTCTAGATACACCAATTAAAAGACTGAACTGTCAAAGCAGGTAAAAAAAAATAAGACATATAACATATAATTATATATTGTCCATAAGAAGCCCATTTTAAACACGAAGACACAGATAGATTAAAAATAAAGGGAGGAGAAAGGCATACCATGCTAACACTAATGGAAAGAAAGCTGGAGTATCTATATCGATTTCAGACAAAGCTGACTTCAGAGCAAGTAAAATTATCAGGGACAAAAAGGGGTATTAAATATGATAAAGGGATCAAGTCTATAAGAAAACACAAGGATCCTTACCGTGTATGCACCTAACAACAGAGCATCAAAATACATGAGACAAAAACTGATAGCACAGCACATTTTTCCAACAGCATTTGCTCCCTTCATGTCTTGGTATCATATTTTTGTAATTCTTGCAATATTTCACACCTATCATTATTATATTTGTTATGGTGATCTGCAATCAGTGATATTTGATGTTTTGATTATGACTTGCTGAAGACTCATATGATGGTTGACAATTTTTTTTTTTTTTTTTTGCAGTACGCGGGCCTCTCACTGTTGTGGTCTCTCCCGTTGAGGAGCTCCGGACGCGCAGGCTCAGCGGCCATGGCTCACGTGCCCAGCCGCTCTGCGGCATGTGGGATCTTCCCAGACCGGGGCATGAACCCGCGTGCCCTGCATCGGCAGGCAGACTCTCAACCACTGCGCCACCAGGGAAGCCCAATTGTTGGCATGTTTTAGCAATATTTTTTATTAACGTATGTACATTGTTTTTTAGACATAATGCTATTGCACACTTAACAGACTATATTGCAGTGTAAATATACTTTTATATTCACTGGAAAACCAAAAAAAATTCGTGTGACTTTTATTGCAACATCCACTTTATTGCGGTAGTCTGGAACCGAACCTGCTGTATCTCTGAGGTGTGCCTGTATATTAACTGCCACGCTTTTTGTATTTTTATGCTTTTTCTTGGGGATTTCACTGTTTAAAATGGCCCTCAAGCATAGTGCTGAAGTGCTGTCTAATGTCCCTAAGTGCAAGAGGGCTGTGATGTGATGCCTTTATAGAGGAAGCGTGCTAGATGAACTTCATTCAGCGCAAGTCATAGTGCTGTTGGCTGAGTTCAGTGTTTATGAATCAACAGTATATATTAAATAAGGTGTCTTTAAGCAGAAACACACATAAAACAAGGTTACGTATTGATTGGTTGATGAAAATGTCATGACCAGAGGCTCCGAGGAAGCTAACTCTATTTCCCCTAGGAGCAATGGTTTGTTATTCCCTAATTCAGTGTTCTCAGCTACTTTAGAGAACTACCATGGATGATGAGAATTGGCTGTATGTAGATATTTATATTTGCACATATGAAATTTATAGTATATTTTCTAAACAGTCCAGGGGAGTAGGCCAAGGAAAGACTGTGTCAGTGGAGACTAGTGTGTCTCAAGAGACAGAAAGCAGCCATGATGGTTGAGAGTGAAACATTAGGCATGATTCCTGCAGTGGCTGTGGAGGTGCAGACAGCCAGGCACAGCTAGATGAAGACTTGCTGTTCATTTTATGAGCCTTTATTACATGCCAGGGTGGGAGGCAATGTAGAGGAGATTTGGGGACTTAGAGACATGGAGGACTAGATCGTCTATGCTTTCCTCTCTAGAGCTCTTCAAGGACCTACTGTCTGAGTCTGGGGGTTTGAACAGGTGCTAATACTGTCAGGGAAGAAAAATGAGGTGGCTGGCTGGGCAGAGGGCAGTGGGGCTTGCAGGGGCCTGTAAGGAGAGGTGGGGGGTGAGGCTCAGAAGGCTGGCAGATCAGCAGGGCCAGAGCAGAGTGAGGTCTGGAAATAGTTGCCTCTGTGTGACTTATGGGGCCTGTGCTGGCTGGAAGTAAGGAGCTTGGACTTCATGCTGGAGGAAATAGAAGATTTCTAGGCAGGAGAGCCACACAGTTTCTGTCTTAGAAAGACCACTCTCACCACAGGGTGGTTCAAAAAAGACAGGAGAGAGTGAAAGTGCGGGCAGAGAGATGAGTGAGAACTCGATTGCAGTTCAGGCCAGAGATGGTATGTGTTGGGGGGTGGGGGTGGGTAGGGGTGGAGATTACTTAGGAGATAAACTGATTGGATTCAGTGGCTGACTGGGAATAGAGGCTGTGGAAGGGGAAGCATCTGGTGTGAAGCCTGTGCTCAGGCACACATGTCTGGGCTGAGAAGGCTTCTGTAGGAAGCAGTTTTGGGCCAAGTCATACAGGGGTTTCACAGCCAAAGGAGGCAGGGAGAGGCCCCTTAGGGTCTGGAGTCCACTCACCACCAAAACCTCAGTCTCCCAGGACTGAAAGACATCCTAACTGTGGTTGTTTTAAAATATGTCTAGAAAGTCTTTGGTCTTCCTCCAAAAGGTGAAGCAGCCTCAAAGAGAGCCTGAGCTAGAACCAACCAGCTATGCTTTTGCTAGGTTCCTGGCCCTCAGAAACTATGAGATAAAGAATGTTTGTTGTTTTCAATCTGATAAGTTTTGTGGTCATTTGTTACACCTCAGTAAATAGCTAATATATTAGCTATTTGGGTTGGCCAAAAAGTTTGTTTGTTTTTTTCTGTAAGATGGCTATAGTAATGCTTAGTTGTCTTTAACTTCATTCGAAACAATTTTGTTAGATTGTATTGCGACAGCAGTCATATCAGCATACACTTAAAAAAAACTTATCAAAATTGGTGAATTTTTGTGTAGCCATTTTATTTTACTTAAAAAATTTTTTTTTAATAAATTTATTTATTTAGGTTTTTTGTTTTGGCTGCGTTGGGTCTTCGTTGCTATGCGTGGGCCTTCTCTAGTTGCGGCAAGCGGGAGCTGCTCTTTGTTGTGGTGCATGGGCTTCTAATTGCGGTGACTTCTCTTGTTGTGGAGCACAGGCTCTAGGTGAGTGGGCTTCAGTAGCTGTGGCACACAGGCTCAGTAGTTGTGGCTCGCGGGCTCTAGAGCGCAGGCTTAGTAGTTGTGGTGCACAGGATTAGTTGCTCCGCGGCATGTGGGATCTTCCCGGACCAGGTCTCGAACCCGTGTCCCCTGCACTGGCCAGTGGATTCTTAACGACTGAGCCACCAGGGAAGTCCTTGTGTAGCCATTTTAATATTGGAGAAGAAAGAAAACCCCCAACATTTTCAGCATATTATGCTTTATTATTTCAAGAAAGGTTAAAAACGCAACTGAAACACACACAAAAAATTGTGCGGTGTATGGAGAAGGTGCTGTGACGGATCGAATGTGTCCAAAGTGGTTTGCGAAGTTTTGTGCTGGAGATTTCTTGCTGGACGATGCTCCATGGTTGGGTAGACCAGTTGAAGTTGATAGCGATCAAACAGAGAACATTAATTGAGAACAATCAACGTTATACCACAAGGGAGATAGCTGACATACTCAAAATATCCAAATCAAGCGCTGAAAATCATTTGCACCAGCTTGGTAATGTTCATCGCTTTGACGTTTGGCTTCGACAATAAGTTACACTGGAAAAGCCTTCTTGACCGTATTTCTGCATGTGATTCTCTACTTGAACATAATGAAAACGTTCCATTTTTAAAACAAATTGTGATGGGTGATGCAAAGTGGATACTGTACAATAATGTGGAACGGAAGAGGTCGTGGGGCAAGTGAAATGAACCACCACCAACCACACTGAAGGCCAGTCTTCATCTAAAGAAGGTGATGTTGTGTATATGGTGGGATTAGAAGGGAGTCCTCTATTATGAGCTCCTTCTGGAAAATCGAACAAGTAATTCCAACAAGTACTGCTCCCAATTAGACCAAATGAAAGCAGCACTCATCGAAAAGCGTCTGGAATTAGTCAACAGAAAACGCATAATCTTCCATCAGGATACCACAAGACTGCATGTTTCTTTGATGACCAGGCAAAAACTGTTACAACTTGGCTGGGAAGTTCTGATTCATCTGCCGTATTCACCAGACATTGCACCTTTGAATTTCCATTTATTTCAGTCTTTACAAAATTCTCTTAATGGAAAAAATTTCCATTCCCCAGAAGACTGTAAAAGGCACCTGAACAGTTCTTTGCTCAAAAAGATAAGAATTTTGGGGAAGACGGAATTATGAAGTTGCCTGAAAAATGGCAGGAGGTAGTGGAACAAAACGGTGAATACGTTGTTCAGTAAGGTTCTTGGTGAAGATGAAAAATATGTCTTTTGTTTTTACTTAAAAACCTAAGGAACTTTTTCACCAACCCGGGACTAACTACTGGGATGACCAAACTCTACCCTCTGAGACCTCCCATCCCCTCGCCTCAGGAAACAACGCCGATTTCACTGACAGGAATCATCGGACAGCAGCACCTCAGACTCCTGTCCTCTCAAGCAGCACCACGGCACTCGGGTCCTCCTGACGCCTGTGATGCGGGGCAAGGAGCGGCGCGTGGTGGGGGGGGGCGGCCCTGGGCAGGGAGCGCAGAAGGGCAGGTAGATGGTGCCCACGTCGGGACGCCAGCAGGTGCGCGGGGTCTTCCTGTTTCTGATTTCCCTCCAGGTCCTCCCCTCCCCTCCCCCAGCCTCTCTGGGCCCTCACCACACAGCAGCATCTGGGTAAGGCCGCGTCACTCCTCGGATGGATGAACGTCCCCCAGTGCTTCCACTGCGCTTACAACAGAAGCCGCCTCCCGCTGCGGTCCAGGGCCCTGCAACTCCCCCACCTCGCCTTGCACCTCGGCCCCGCCCTCCTTTCCGCTGCCGGACCAGCCCCTCCAGGGCTGCTACTCCTCGCAGGACTTTGCTGACCACTCGGCGCCCCGTTGGGTACGCTGTTATTCACAGCGCCGCTCTGGGTGACAGCTTTTCATGTCTGTTTATCTGCTTTTCCCTCCCCACTAGCAGGTGAGCTTTAAGGGCACATTCCCTTGTGTAGGCGTAGTCCTTCCATCCAGAGCAGTACCTGCAACATTGTCAGTGTTGGGGAGGGTCTCCTGCAGACCGCGCTCCGAACGGCCCGGGCCCCGCCCACCGGGCCCCGCCCACCGCGCTCCGAAAGGCCCGGGCCCGCCCACCGCGCCGCCAGCGCCCTGCGGAACTCTGTTACACAGACGTGTTTCGCGGGGAGCGAATTCGGCGTCGGTCCCGAAGACCTCCTCAGGGTCTGGCTGCGGCTGCAGCGCATGGCGGTGAGTGCTACGGTGAGGGCGCACCGGTGTCGGGGCCTTGGGCCGTTGGTGGCTCCTCGTGACCTTCGTACTGTCCCCCTTTCTCCAGGCTCCAGGACATCCTGCGCAGGAGACATCGGCAGCCCCAGGTACTGCCCGCGCACCCCGCAGCCCCCGGTTCCCCCCGCCGCTTCCCGGCGCCCCGAGTCCTTCCACTGTAAGGCCCTATCCAGTCTGTCTGCTTAGGGCACCCTACGTGCAGTGACGCTGCCTCCAGGGCCAAGCAACAAAAGAAGAAGAAGAAAACCCGGAATGGGGCTTCAGCGGCGAATGCAGGCGGGAGGGCCACGGAAACGCCGGCCTCAGAGGAAGCCCCCCTAAGTGCGGAGGCCCAGGCAAGGGCGGGCCTTAGTCGGGAAGGGTGGAGCCTCGGGGTGCATTCTGGGTGGGAATCCGCCGGTGGGTGTAGTCTCGGATTTGCGGACTTAAAGCGGGGAGAGGATGAGACGGGGCGTTTTGGGTTCCTGTGGCATGGGGCTGGAGGCCGCGGGGTCCAGGTACCCTCTCACAGCCACTATCCCCGATCCACCACAGGCGGAGCAGCTGGCCCGGGAACTGGCCTGGTGCGTGGAAAAGCTGGAGCTGGGGCTGAAGATGCAGAGACCCACCCCTAAGCAGAGTGAGGGGCCTGTCTGTAGAGTTGCGGGGGGCGGGGGCGGGTGAAAGGTGACAGTCCTGTGGCCTGCAGGTGCTCCCAAGGGATGGAATCGTTACCTTTGCAGTAGGTCAGTTGGAGGTGAGGATAGAGAAGTTTACTAGTCCTGTGTTTTCATTTGCAGAAGAGCAAGCTCTTGGGGCAATCCGAACCCTGCGCAGCCAAAGAACCCCCCTGCCCCGGAAGAGGCAGCTGATGCGCTCCTTGTTCGGGGACTACAGGGCTCAGATGGAAGCCGAGTGGTGCGTGGCCCTGCGGGCTCTCAGGACTGGTGAGGACCTGGGAACTGGTTGGTGCACACCTGCCTAGTTCAAGGGGGCAGGGAGGAAGAGCCTGGGCAGTGGAAGGAGGAAGCCCAGAGCAGTAGGGCTGGCCGGGGTAGAAGATGGCTCAGGAAAGCGTCAGGGAGCAGGGAGAGAGAAAGCCTGGATCTCAGGAACACAGAACTTCGGCTTGAACCAGGGAGGCAGGGGCAGGAGAGTTAGTGAATCTCTCTGTGATTCTCAAGGGAGTGTGATACCTTATAATTTTGAGAAGTAAGTCAGTTAATTTTTACAATGGGGGTAGAGTTGTATGGGCACAGTTAGCATTAGCCATTATCATTCAATTCTGATACGGTCTCTCCCCTCCCTTACAGCTGCCCACTCAGTCCAGGTGCAGCCTGTAGGTGAGGCCGCCAGAAAGAAGAGCCGAAGGGTCTGCAGGCCTCGTCTAACAGGGAGAGCCAAGGACACCCTAGACACTCCTGATGAAGAGTTTAGGTTCAATTTCTTTTAGCCTCTTCCCCATTCTGGAACAGCCCTCCTGCAGTTGGTGCAGGGGTTTGTCTTGAGTGCAGAGCTTGCCAGGAATGCTCTGTCAGACAGACGTGGGGTTGCTCCGTCCCTGGCTGGTCAGTGAATCTGGTGCCATGGCTGTTGGGCAGATGCAAGACCTGCATGTTGGGTACTGACCTGACTGTCAGACAAGCCCAGGACCCCGTTTATAGGTTTTCAGTTGAAATGTCTCTCCTGCTGGAAGGGGGAGGTCCATTCAGAAGTTTCTACAGTAAACTGAAGTGAGTGTTTAGCATGTTGTAGAAGGACACTTTTAACAGGCTTAGGAGCAGACTAAGTAGATGTTGGTAATAAGGATTAGTAGGGAAGTGACATAGTTATGCACCGGTGCTCACTTATGGGAGGGTGTTCTGTCAGGTGGTGTAGAGCTCCATGTCATTGTGTCCCATTGCCATAATAAAAGTATTCCTCATAAAAGTGGAAGAGTGAAAGCATGTGTTAACTAACTGTCTATATAGATGAGGTGGTGTGTGGCACTGCTGGGTCCAGGCTCTCACCCCAGTGCTTGGTCTTTTGTCTATTTTGCCTTCATTCCTGAGCAGGTATCATCCTTGGGGAGCCATCGTAGCCCCCAGCAGCCCAGGCTTTGTTCTGAGGAGCAGATAGCTTCCTGCCCTAAGAATCCCAGCCAGACACCAGCATTGAGCCTCAGTGGACAAGCTCTGATGTCAGCTGCTCCAGGTGATAGTCCCAGGCCTTCTGCATTAAGTTGGGTTTTCAAGGGTGCTTAATCCTCTTCAGTGGTTGTGGTGCCATCTCTGGTGTGTCTCCCAAACTTGCAGACTAGACTAGATAGATACCTGGAGCCCACCTGCCTACTCAACATCTCTTATTTTGCTGTTTCACAGGCATTTCAAACTTGACGTGTCCAAAACATCCGATTAGTCCCTAAATCTCCATTTGTTTTCTGCTTTTCAGTGAATGGCACTACTGCCCAACTAGTTGATCAGGCCAAAAATCTGTGTCACCTCTGCAAAAGGGGTTCGTGGATCCAATTCCAACGTGTGTGTGTGTTTGTGTCGAGGGTTCCCGACACCAACAGCAATTCTTGGATGTCAGCAGCGTGTCCAAGAATGCAAGTCAATCCTGACACTGTCTACCCAGAGATGGAATCAGATTCCACAGGAAAAGCGCTCAGTCCCACAAGACCCCCCTCTCCTTCACATGCCAGTCACGAGTCCTATAGCTGTTCCCTATACTTCTGACCAACAGGCTATAAATCAGGTTCCTGTGACCCCCTTCTTTTTTTTTTTTACCTCGTTATTGGAGTATAATTGCTTTACAATGGTGTGTTAGTTTCTGCTTTATAACAAAGTGAATCAGTTATACATATACATATGTTCCCATATCTCTTCCCTCTTGTGTCTCCTGCCCTCCCCCCCTCCCTATCCCACCCCTCTAGGTGGTCACAAAGCACCGAGCTGATCTCCCTGTGCTATGCGGCTGCTTCCCACTAGCTATCTATTTTACGTTTGGTAGTTGGGGTATAATTGCTTTACAATGGTGTGTTAGTTTCTGCTTTATAACAGAGTGAGTCAGTTATACATATATATATGTTCCCATATCTCTTCCCTCTTTGTCTCCCTCCCTCCCACCCTCCCTATCCCACCCCTCCAGACAGCCACAAAGAACCGAGCCGGTTTCCCTGTGCCATGCGGCTGCTTCCCACTGGCTATCTACCTTACGTTTGTTAGTATATATATGTCCATGTCTCTCTGTGTCCCCTGCATCGGCAGGCGGACTCTCAACCACTGCGCCACCAGGGAAGCCCCAGGTCTGTGTCTTTATTCCTGTCTTACCCCTAGGTTCTTCATGAGATTTTTGTTTCTTCTTACATTCCATATATATGTGTCAGCATACGGTATTTGTCTTTCTCTTTCTGACTGAGTTCACTCTGTATGACAGACTCTAGGTCCATCCACCTCATTACAAATAGCTCAATTTTGTTTCTCTTTATGGCTGAGTAATATTCCACTGTATATATGTGCCACATCTTCTTTATCCATTCATCTGATGATGGACACTTAGGTTGTTTCCATCTCCTGGCTATTGTAAATAGAGCTGCAATGAACATTTTGGTACATGACTCTTTCTGAATTCTGGTTTCCTCAGGGTATATACCGAGTAGTGGGATTGCTGGGTCATATGGTAGTTCTATTTGTAGTTTTTTAAGGAACCTCCATACTCTTCTCCATAGTGGCTGAACCAATTCACATTCCCACCAGCAGTGCAAGAGTGTTCCTTTTTCTGCACACCTCTCCAGCATTTATTGTTTCTAGATTTTTTGATGATGGCCATTCTGACTGGTGTGAGATGATATCTCATTGTAGTTTTGATTTGCATTTCTCTAATGATTAATGATGTTGAGCATTCTTTCATGTGTTTGTTGGCAGTCTGTATATCTTCTTTGGAGAAATGTCTATTTAGGTCTTCTGCCCATTTTTGGATTGGGTTGTTTATTTTTTTGTTATTGAGCTGCATGAGCTGCCTGTAAATTTTAGAGATTAATCCTTTGTCAGTTGATTCATTTGCAAATATTTTCTCCCATTCTGAGGGCTGTCTTTTGGTCTTGTTTATGGTTTCCTTTGCTGTGCAAAAGCTTTGAAGTTTCATTAGGTCCCATTTGTTTATTTTTGTTTTTATCTCCATTACTCTAGGAGATGGGTCAAGAAGGATCTTGCTGTGATTTATGTCATAGAGTGTTCTGCCTATGTTTTCCTCTAAGAGTTTGATAGTTTCTGGCCTTACATTTAGGTCTTTAATCCATTTTGAGCTTATTTTTGTGTATGGTGTTAGGGAGTGATCTAATCTCATACTTTTACATGTACCTGTCCAGTTTTCCCAGCACCACTTATTGAAGAGGCTGTCCTTTCTCCACTGTATATTCCTGCCACCTTTATCAAAGATAAGGTGACCATATGTGCATGGGTTTATCTCTGGGCTTTCTATCCTATTCCATTGATCTATCTTTCTGTTTTTGTGCCAGTACCATACTGTCTTGATTACTGTAGCTTTGTAGTATAGTCTGAAGTCAGGCAGCCTGATTCCTCCAGCTCCATTTTTTGTTCTCAAGATTGCTTTGGCTATTCGGGGTCTTTTGTGTTTCCATACAAATTGTGAAATTTTTTGTTCTAGTTCTGTGAAAAATGCCAGTGGTAGTTTGATAGGGATTGCATTGAATCTATAGATTGCTTTGGGAAGTAGAGTCATTTTCACAATGTTGATTCTTCCAATCCAAGAACATGGTATATCTCTCCATCTATTTGTATCATCTTTAATTTCTTTCGTCAGTGTCTTATAATTTTCTGCATAGAGGTCTTTTGTCTCCATAGGTAGGTTTATTCCTAGCTATTTAATTCTTTTTGTTGCAGTGGTAAATGGGAGTGTTTTCTTGATTTCACTTTCAGATTTTTCATCATTAGTGTATAGGAATGCCAGAGATTTCTGTGCATTAATTTTGTATCCTGCTACTTTACCAAATTCATTGATTGGCTCTAGTAGTTTTCTGGTAGCATGTTTAGGATTCTCTATGTATAGTATCATGTCATCTGCAAATAGTGACAGCTTTACTTCTTCTTTTCCGATTTGGATTCCTTTTATTTCCTTTTCTTCTCTGATTGCTGTGGCTAAAACTTCCAAAACTATGTTGAATAAGAGTGGTGAGAGTGGGCAACCTTGTCTTGTTCCTGATCTTAGTGGAAATGCTTTCAGTTTTTCACCATTGAGGACGATGTTGGCTGTGGGTTTGTCATATATGGCCTTTATTATGTTGAGGAGATTTCCCTCTATGCCTACTTTTGGAGGGTTTTTATCATAAATGGGTGTTGAATTTTGTCGAAAGCTTTCTCTGCATTCTATTGAGATGACCATATGGTTTTTCTCCTTCATTTTGTTAATATGGTTTATCACATTGATTGATTTGCATATATTGAAGAATCCTTGCATTCCTGGAATAAACCCCACTTGATCATGGTGTATGATCCTTTTAATGTGCTGTTGGATTCTGTTTGCTAGTATTTTGTTGAGGATTTTTACATCTATGGTCATCAGTGATATTGGCCTGTAGTTTTCTTTCTTTGTGACATCCTTGTCTGATTTTGGTATCAGGGTGATGGTGGCCTTGTAGAATGAGTTTGGGAGTGTTCCTCCCTCTGCTATATTTTGGAAGAGTTTGAGAAGGATAGGTGCTAGGTCTTCTCTAAATGTTTGATAGAATTCGCCTGTGAAGCCATCTGGTCCTGGGCTTTTGTTGGAAGATTTTTAATCACAGGTTCAATTTCAGTGCTTGTGATTGGTCTGTTCATATTTTCTATTTCTTCCTGATTCAGTCTTGGCAGGTTGTGCATTTCTAAGAATTTGTGTATTTCTTCCAGGTTGTCCATTTTATTGGCATAGAGTTGCTTGTAGTAATCTCTCATGATCTTTTGTGTTTCTGCACTGTCAGTTGTTACTTCTCCCTTTTCATTTCTAATTCTATTGATTTGAGTCTTCTCCCTTTTTTTCTTGATGAATCTGGCTGATGGTTCATCAATTTTGTTTATCTTCTCAAAGAACCAGCTTTTATTTTTTACTCTGGCTTCCCCATGCATGTTTTAGCTGAAGGAAGAATCCCTTAAACCCGGAGAGTTGGGACCCATGGAATGGGTACCATGCAGTATGACTTCAAAGGGTCTGCATTTGCTCTCCGAACATCACCAATCCTATCAGCCCCAAGTGTCCAGCCTTACGTCTTACCCAGCTGTGGCTTTTAATTTCTCCATGAACTCTGAATGAGATCCTTTCTGGGTAGAGTAATCTTGGTTGTAATTTTTTCTCCTTCATCACTTTAATTACGTCCTCCCAGTCCCTTCTGGCTTGCAGAGTTCCTCCTGAAAGATTAGCTCTTAACCTTATGGGGATTCTCTTGTGTGTTATTTGTTGTTTTTCCCTTGCTGCTTTTAA